AAGTGGACTCAATTTGCACTATTTCTAGCAGTCTGCAACCCCCATAGTCAAAATTATTCAAAAAATGGTTGAAAAACATGTTTTTGAAGTGGTGAGAAATGCTAGTGAGAAAAATCCTGGACTGACAAGAATCTTCACATTTCAGGTCTCATACTGTTTAAAATTCACACAAGGTTGTTTTCCACACAAAACAGCATTTTCCATGCAGGAAATAATATATTTATGCAGAAATGTTATTTTTTGCTCAGAAATGCTATTTCATGTGCAAAAAAACCATGGGAGAATTTTGTGCAGATTAAGTCCTGAACTGCAAATAGCCTTTAAAATCTGTGTGGTTTTCTTGAAGACTGTTTTGACAGTAGGAAGAAAATTGCTAAAATAACTTGTTGCTTCATTTGAGGAGAAACTTGTCAAAGAAGAAATTCAAGGAGAACAGGAATGGGAACATGCTATTACCCTAATGTTCTGCCTGTGCACTTCTCATGGGCAAGCAATTGGCCACTATGTGAACAGAATGCTGGACTGTAGAACCATAGAATCATAGAATTGGACTGGACTGTAAGAGTTATCAAATCCAACCCAGTTTGGTGCAAAGATGCACAGCTAAAGCTCTCTGGAAAGAGTGGCCCCCAATCTCTGTTTAAAGATCTTCAAAATAGAAAAGTCCACTACTCTCTGAGGCAGTCTATTGAACAGACTGTTGAATAGAATGTCAAGACGGTCTTTCTGATGTTTAGGAGGGTTTTGTTGTTGTTGTTTTTGAGGGGGGTGTTATTTAAATCTATCGGTTCCTGTTCTAGTCTCTGGAGCAAAAAACAAGGTTGCTCCATTGTAACATCCCTTCAAATATTTAAAGATGGCTATTGTATCACCTCTCAGTCTTATCTTCTCCAGGCTAAACATGCCCAGCTCCCTTATCTGTTTTTCATAGGGCTTGCTTTCCATACATTTTGCCATCTTGGTCACCCTCTTCTGGACATGTTCTTCTTGAACTATGATGTCTGAACTGGACACATTAATCCAGGTGAAGTCTGACCAAAGCTGGATAGAATTATACTATTACTTCCCTTGATCTAAACTACTTAGACTAGAAAGGACTTTGGTATGATCCTTTAAAGTTCTTGCTGTGTGTTTATGTTCTGTTCCTGATTTTGCTTTGTGAAACAATGGGTGCACCTAGATTCTCAAGCCTACATTACATTTCAGCCTTCCATATTGACAGCTCTATAAATATTCAATGTGAAATAGTTATCCCAATCTGTATTTCACAAAGTTGTCTATGTCCTGATATATGAGTAAAGCCTGTGGTGGATTCTATGGGGCCCTGTATACATTGTGCCAAAATTATAATGGCTTGAAAATAGGGTGGGACCCTTTCCAAGCTATTACACATCTCTCCCTTCATAATCATGCTATAAATTTTTCTAAGACCAGTGTGGCAAAAGACCTCTGACTTCCATGCTGTGGAGCACTTTGTTATAATCTGCAACGTCCTCCAAACTTGGCTTGACTGAAAAACCAGATGCCTTGTAATACTGAGTTTAATCATCCCTCATTAATCATTAATGTAATTAAAAAGATGTGTCAGAGTTTCCACCGAGAAGTCCCCATTTTGCAGGGGCTCATGCAGAGATCCTGAGGAATTTTTTCTGGAATTGACTATGGACTTGCTACTATTAAGCCAAGAACAATATTGGGGTTTTTTTTCCCCAGAAATTAAAAAATGATGTGAAATTGATTTTAATGTGCATGAACTGTACATATTTTTAAATTCCTTATTTGGTCATTCACTTATTCTTATATTTTTATGTAAAAAGGCAAGGTTTATGATTTTCAGTGTAAGCTTAAAATAAAAACTGAGTCACTTGACCATTTTTATGTAGTGAGGCAAATAAATGAGTTTTGAGTATGCCATAAAATAGTTGTGAAATTCTCCAAATCCTAAATTTTGTCCACATCACCCCTTTTTTCCAAGACACTTCTCCAAGTTTCTCAAAGTTTGACATGGTAATATTGA